ATTTGCAGTTTTGATCTTGGTAGCTTCGCACTGCACCTTCCATTCGCTCCCAGCTTTGAGGACACGGCAACTTCTTCGAAGTTGCTTCTTGTCCTTCAGACGGGGCCTCTGCGGCTGCCCTTGAAATCTTGCCGACCTCGCAAAAAGAGGCCGCACGTCAGAGCCAAGGATGCAAACAGCACTGCCAATTTGCCCATTTGCCAATTTTGCCAATTTGCCAGTGCAGATGTGCATTCCGGCTTCGAGCACCATTGCTGGTAGCTGTAGCGCTGGGCTGCGGCATTGACTGATTTTCTCATGAAGCCTAATAACCACTATGAAGCCTAAACCACATCACTCCCATCAAATCCTGACATTTGTATGAAATCCTCAAATGAAGCTTTACCAAGTCTATCAAGCCTGCATAATCTTTGGAGATGCTAGGGGTCCTTGGACGTCTGCGTCATGTCAGAACCTCTTATGTTGAATATTGCTGCGGTGGGTCATTGAGCGTAAAATTTCCAGGCAACACACGCTTCGTGAACTTTTCGTGGTTGAACTCCTGAAGCCCCCCATGTCTTCATAGCCGTAAGTGCCAGGGCCAAGGCTCTTAGCTTCCTGAAACAACAGCCCATGGATGGGCCTCCTCCTCCTCCTCCTTCACCGCCAGCGCGGGACTCTGGCCCAACATGACGAGGGTTTACAGATGGGATTGCAGTCTGTTGCGAGGCTTCTTGCAGTTTAGGAATTGAGGATTGGGGTCTGGAGATGCTGTGCGGAAAGGCAGACCAGTCCACGAACATGTTCTTGCCTTCTGTTTCCTTCGTCTGCATCCTCTCTTGGGCCCCTCTGTTGGGCTCTATGGTGCCGAGGCGCCGCCTGCGAGGCTCGGCCTTGTTTGGGGGAGGAGAATGGGGAGAGGGAAGGGTTTATTTCTTCTTGGATTTGCGGAAGGATGTCGGTTCATGAGATGTCGCGAGTGTTCCAGGCCAAAGCGCCCTGCACCAAGTGGCCCTGACGATGCCGCCGTGCGGCTTCAGCGCTGCCGTCCTGTTTTAGAGACCACATTCGTAAGATCATTTTTGAAGAAGGCTCCTCTCTCAGGGCCCGAGCTAGTGAGCTTACCAGGCGCTGGTACCGTGCCGTGGCACGGAGGAGGTCCTTCATGGTGATCGTGAACCGTGCGCAGGGAGCCTGGCGTCCCCACCTCTTCTCCCACCCGAAAGACGAAGGGGAAGCATGCTGTGTGTGAACTTGCGCCAGGTCGACAGTGCTTTGCGATGTTCGGAGAAGAAGTTATATACGGTCTAGGAACGATCCGATAGCAGACGAGAGACTCTAGATGCATCTGGAGCATCTGCTCCAGCAAGATTGTGAGAAAATGTCACGAACTGTAAAGAATATGGATCCCTTTCGAAGTTCCACCCGGTGATAATGGCTGTTAAAACGCTGTGATGTGCCGTGCCTTCTGAATATGCCAAGGCGACGAAGGAGGAAGTTTCTAGATGAGCGACGGCGAGTTGCTCAGCGTGTGTACACGGCAGAGGCACGAGTTTAGCCAACTTCTGCACAGTGGTTTGGGTTTTGGAGTGGGGAAGCATCAGTCCATTACGTACTGATGAACTATGGTACCGCTGTATAACATTCGCAAGCTGTTTGGTTTGCAGGTTTTGTGGAATGCTGAGTTTCGAAGCCCGCAGGCGGCGATCGAAGAGATGAGGGCCGGAAGCCTTAGGAGACGAAGAAGGAGAAGAAGAGGAAGAAGAGGAAGATGATGCCGTACTATTGATGGGTTTGGGGTGGGGCCCGAGTGGGGTTTGCTGGGAAGCTCGGCAGGGGCGGGGGCTGGGTAGCCTTCGAGTGGCTACTCCCAATGAGAGAGAGAGAGAGAGAGAGAGAGAGAGAGAGAATGCACAAACGGTTATGTGAGTCACAGGTGTGCGCGCTGGGGGCGGGCTCAACCCCCAACGACAGAAGGAATGAACGCATCTTCTCAAAGAGTCGTAGCAGTAATCAAGCTTGAAATAAGAGCAGCCGTAAGTATAGTTATTCAGAACAACCAAATAGCACGAACAATGACAATCACATAAATGTCGAACTGCAACACCAAAGATAGTTTTGTGGCAACAAATCATGTAACGGCTATACCAATTGTCGTCGAGCCCAACACGTAGTCATCAAGAATGAGTGCAAGAAGAAGCTGACGAAGATTAAGAATGACACCGTTGAGGACCTTGTGTCCTCTTGGCCGACACGGCCCTCACAGCTCTGTACGGAGCTTTTGAAGCTCAGGCTCGGCTGGCAATGCCATCCGGCCACCGCCTGGTGAGCCCTGCGCTTGGATGTCAACATTTCTGAAAGTGAGACGGCCCGCAGTCCTTACCGTAGAATTCAGGCACCATCGCTAGTTTCCTGATAGCAAGTGTGGGCTCCAGCGATTCGCTCAATCGTCCACAAAACCCGGTGCTCCCGGAGCAGCGGCGTGTAACAGCGCGCAACCGCAGGAGGATACCCCAAGCCAGCCGGCCCCTGATATGCTCTGAGGCCGATGGAAGGAAGCCAGGGAAGCGGAAGCTGCCACGTGCGCGGGGTAGATGGAAGCGTTTTTGGATTGGACACCATTAAGTAGAATTGGACATCTTTTTGTTGTTGCTCCGGCAAACAGCAGACTCCGAAGATCTGGTCGCAATAGGACTCGCTGCGGTCGAGCCTTTTCTGTGCTTTTCTGAGGCAGGTACAAAACCGGTGGCGGTCGCTGAGAGCGAAGAAGCAGCTGGCATCTTGATTGAACACAGAGTTAAGCAGCACAAGCAGCCTAGTTAAGCCCACATCGCAAGCCCGAACCTTAAGTCTCGCCAGAAGTGGTCGTGTCCGCCATCCTCCTGAGGTGAAGCTTGTCGGGGAGCAGAGACAGCAAGAGGCCCGAGAGACAGCCGGAGAGTCGCACCTTGAATCAGATTGCTTCTCAACATTATTTGTATTATTATTATTAGAATTATGATTATCAATATGAGTATTAATTCAGTACTACTAGCCGCACGTTGCGAGACCTTTATGCAGACTCGCCCCGCGTGCATTGACGTCACGGGAGGCGGTGCGGAAGATCCAGGCCTTCCTCCGGCGGCGGCGCCAAAAACAACAGCAGCCAGGGGCCGAAAGTCGGGGGGAGCGCAAAAATCGGCAAAATTGGAGCTGTTTTCATGTGTTTGGGAATGGGTGTCGTTCAGAAGTTCATATTCGCCTTCGGCAGTGAGGTCTCCCCTTGTGCGGTCGGCCGTGGAGAATCCCTTCTGGAGGCTTCACCGACAAAAGATCCGAATCAAATCTTGAATCTGTCGGGAAACTATTCACTTCGATTCTATTCAGAGAGCCCTTCTTAAAACCTTCTTATGCCTTTCATGTGGCTTGGGAGGCCCATCCAAGAGGAGCGCGTGAGGGCACTCGAGAACGCCATCGTGGCCAAGACCTGCTCCCAGCTTTGGCAGTCAGGTGAGTGCTCATACTTGTAGCGGCTTGGACCTGAGCTGGATGCAAGCCCGAAGCGGTCAGCAAGCATCGAACTCCAGCAAAGGCGCAAGCAGTGGAGCACCCTAACAGGCCATGCTTGTGTTGAGCTTGGGCGACTTCTAGAGTTCTAGGGCTTTGGGCAGCGGAGGTTTGGTTGGGATTCTTGGGGTTTGGAATTCAGAAATGAGGAGCCATGCCCGTTTTTGAAGTGCAAGATCTTCAGCTAGTTCAATTGCGCAGACCGTCAAGCTTCACTCAAGTCAGGTCCCGGTTGACATTCTTGCTCGATTGCTAGGCAGAGGGTTGACGATGGAGCAGCTCAAGATGCAGGTGCTGTTTCGCAGCACAGAGTGCCAACGGTGGCTTCCTTTTGCCATTTGTTTCGTTCTTTCTCTCTTTTTGAAGTGTTGTTTGGTCTCCAGGCTGTGGCTGAGTACGAGCAGTTCCGACAGGGTGCCGGGCGGTGGACGGGGCCTCTGCTTTGTCGTTGCGCGCTGCTCACAATTGTGTGAATCCAGCGACGTGCCTCATCGTTCATGTCGTTCATGTGGTCAACGTCGTAAAGCATCGCAAGACGGAACTCGTGAACATCCTCAGGCGCTACGATGTTTGGCGAGCCCTCCTCGAAAGAGCTCAGTGCGCTGCTTAGAAGGTGACTTTAGTGGAGAATGGGCCTCAAGGTGTAACGAGGCGATACTGCCGAGGCCTTTAAGGCACGCAGAGTCCAGAGACTGTGCGGAAAGATTGGGGATGTTTTGGATTGAACGGTGTCGGGTTCAGAGCTTGGAGGTTAAGGGCAGTTGGGGGGGATTCTGGGGTCTGCTGGAGCAAAGATTTTCGCGTAGAGTCGTGCTCCCAGGGCGCGGCGGACGATCGAGGCGGGCCGGACAAGCAAGCTTGGCCAGCTGTCCCCTCTGCGCGCCACTGTCAACCCTCCGTGCGCATGGACTGTTGTGGGAAAGTTTTTTTGAGTTCTGCGAGCGCCCACGAGAGCACATTGCCCACAGGCGCTGACCGAGCGGAGCTTCGCCAACCCTCCGCCGTGACCACCTGAGAGGATGGAGTAGGACCGGTAGGAATGGGTTGTTGTTTCAGTTCCGTTCAGAAGCTTGAGAGTAGACTGCGCTGGTTCTTTGTGTCCCGGCTCCCGCTGCTAGCTGAGGTACGGGGTGTGCAGCGCCTACCTGCTGCAGGAAGCCGAGGCTTCGGGCACTTTTTTTCACTTTTTTTGAGACTTTAGTTTGCCATCTCATCCTGAAGGGGTTCGGGGGACTGATAAGGCATCTGAGACCTTCCATGGCACTCAATGAGCACTCCGCGTGGCACTCCTTGGCACTTGCTTCGCTGCGCTGCCTTTGGCTTTCCGTGCTCTGTGGCACAGAAGGGCCGTGTGAGATTTGCCATGACATGAACTGGCCGAGGAGTCAGATGAGTCAAACTCTCTTAGTCTCGGGGACCCTCAGACCCATTCCCTACATGGCCTGCATGTAGCTGGAGCTGTGCCTTCCGATGCAATGGAACAGCAGCTTCAACAGCGGCTTCTGTTTCCGAGCCCGGAGCTTGACAGCATCCTCGGCTGCATTGTTGTGGGGTGGGGGGGGGGCAGATAGCGTCCTCTGAGAGAGTTTGCTCGTCCTCGGTCTGACTTTCGCGGAATCCTGAGGCGAGGTTGAGCCAGGGCCGACGGAGTACCTTCCTGTCCGTCCAAAGAAAAGACGGCTGGATGGAGACGTGGCACCTCATTCTGGGAAGCATCATATGGTGGCCTTGCAGGCAAGGACTCTGGGGGGTGGGGGTTGAGATTAAGTTGGGTTGTGCTTGCGTGACGTGGTCACTTGGCCATCCTGGTGAAGAAAGGGGTCAGGAGAGGCCGTGAGGGCCTTTTCAGAAGACCGAGGCACAATGCTCACCGCGTCAGTGGACAGCGTGTTCTCCACGATGGAAGCAGCGGAGGAATGAGGTGGAGCCGCCAGAGAAAGCGTGCAGCCGCGAGTTTGGAGCAGCTGGAACAGTAAACTCGGTAGGTGTCAAGGATTTCTATGACTTCATGCGGCGGCGCGAGGGGTTGCGCCGTCGACGGGAGGTGCTACGGCTACCGCCCGAGGTTGGAGGGGATCTTTGAAGATTGGCACTTGGGGGGAGGGGGGATGCTTTACGTTGTTTCGCTGAGTTCCCTATACTCTCTAACCTCTGTCAGGCTATCAGATGTAGAAAAGAGTCAAGTTGGCTTCAAAGTTGCATTCAGTCAGATGGCAGGACTAGCAGTAACAGAACCAGCTCTAGTCTGATACTTTCGAGCCTTTGGGGCGTGAAGAGAGCGGTGAGAGTCCAAACCCTGCAGCATTGGACCAACGATCACATCATGGCGCGAATTCGGCTGACAAATGTCAAGAGGGAGGATGATCGCACGACGCGCGTCATGCGAAAGCTTTGCAACGCCTACGTTGAGCTTTGTCCGCACCTGGCTTTGCAAGCGGGCCGTTGCTTCCGTGTAGCCCTTGCGACCCGAAATCCTAAAGCCGGATGCAGTATGGCTGGGGTGCCTATTGCGCTCGACTTCAGGACCAACACCCGGAGCTCAAAGAATTGCGGAAGATCCCACCGCATTCCTGGGATTTCAATCTTCGCCTGTCGGCACGGTGTTTGGCACGGGTCTTAGCTGTTGTGGCAGTGTTGTGAAGTTGTTTCGAATGTTTAAATTTGTGTCTCCACCACGTTCCTTTTTGCAGCGTGCAGGTCTTCAACTTTGCACTTTGGCGGGCCTTCGGCACAGACGCCTTTGCCGAGTCCATCGGATTCTTGACCCACAAGACGTGGAGCAATGTCGAGCAGGATGCTGCTGCAGCCTGAGCTTTTTCTAGCAGTCATCGGATGAGGTTCCAGGAACATGAAGCCACCCGCTGCAATCAGGTGGTCGAGGCCGCCAAGAGAAGGTGGAGCATGGGCCTGTTCAACTACACCGATGCATATGAAGCTCAGCTGGGGGAATCAAGAGGTTCAAGAGCTGGCTGAAGACTTCCGAACCCACCTTGATTGCACATTCTTCGAATAGTAGTTCAAGCTCGCCGAAGCTTGCTATAGCTTGCGCGCGTGATACTCTCAGGGAAGGGGGTGGGTTTCATGTTTTCGTCCGGCTAGTCCAGGTTATGCTGGGTACCTTTCTAAGCTCCAGGGGGATTTAGATAGTTGTAAGCTGTACATTTCAGTTTGCAAAATAGGCCCAGCTTTTTCTAGGTCTGACCTGCACCGTGTGTTATTGTCACACGATCCCACGTGTAACCTGCGCCGCTCTTGCTTTCTATCGGTGATCTTTTGCCATTCCATTGCCTTACACACACATTGCATCAATCAACGATGAAATTTTAGCGCTGCGCGACCCGCCTCCACCTGAGCTTCTGTAACAAGGCAACCCGAACCAGGGGGCTGGGGGGCAGGTGGGGGAGGGCTGGGAAAAGGCCTCGAAGGCCAATGGAGGCCTCAAGCGAAAGGCCCTCCAAGCTATCTGTGTGGGCGGGGGTTGGGTTGGGGGACGGGGGGGGGGGCAGGGCTGGTCCCTGCTCCTGGACACTTGTCGGCCCATTTCAGGCCAAGAAGTGCCAAATAAAGGGGCGCAAACCTAATGTCTGGGCTGTGAGGAGGGGATTAGAGGTGGGGTGCTTGCTTTGTGCTACCCAGACACCTACGGCCCGAGGCCTCGGCGAATTAAACGTATATACCTTACACACATAAGTGGGTACGTGCGCATGTTCTTGCAAAGAATTGCGTGGAACGTGCCTTACGGCCCTTAAGGACCCCAGCCGCAGCCACCGCGCGGAGGAGCTCCAAGCGCGCACCCACGAGGGGCTCACGGCGGTGCCTCCGATGCGGCTGAGGAGGATTTGTAGTTGGGGGGTTGAGGGTTTACAGGGCTTGTGTACTATTAGGGTGTTTCAGGTTCCGGGTTTTGGGACTTGTAGGGTTTGGGGGGTTGCGTAGGCTGAGAGTTTTAAGGTTTGGTTTTTTGAAAGAGGATGGAAGAAGCAAAGGAAAACAGCGCAACGCCTACTTTTCTCAGGTCCATCGCGTGTACAGCAGGACATGCGCAAGCCTTGCGTGGGACTCAGGTGGACCGGCATGTGCTCCAGAAACTAGGGGCGGGGATGTTTTGCGAAGTTCCGCAGTACGGCAGCAGTAGCTGTGGACTCTGCGGGCGCTAAGCAGAAGATTGTTAGACGGGCCGCCCAGGAAACCAAAGCCTACTTCTCTTCAACCCTTGTGATGAGCCCTTGAGGCCACTGACTGAGGGGAATTATCTCAAGAGCGCCTGATGTGTAAATACTATTCAGTATCATTCCGTGCGCAAGCACGCAAAAAGGGGGCCCCTCGCTCGGAAAGTTGAGACTCGCGCCAGTATCTGATGATGTGCTTCCCAGGCAGGGCTTTGGCGGGCCTGTGATGACATCGCCGGCATCTCAGAATGAGCGAACTTTGTGCTGGAAACCCTGAGACACTTGTCACGAGGAAGGCAAGTTCAGGTTCCCCTTGAAGTCTGCGGCCTTGCCTGTCGGCCTTTGAATGGCGAATGCCGCCCAAACACAAGCACAAGGAATGAGAGTTCTAAGAGCTTCAACGAGGCCGAACGGGCCGTCACCTCCAGCTCCTGGAGAAACGTGACACGGTGCGGAGCCCAGATGGGATGCAAGACCCGTTGGGCAGATGGTCGCTGCCACGGCTGACAGGTGCGTCATGAAAGTCCCCGGTTACGGTGGGACTGGCTTCCTAGCAAAGGAGTTGGTGCAGGACGTTCAGCCCCAAAGCATGTTAAGAGGACGCGCATGTTGGAGACGGTGTCTCGTTTCCTTCCCACACCATAGTGACCATGGTGTTCAGCTAGCTCAGCTTTGCTGGACTCCTCGTTGGGGTGCGCTGTGCTTGCATCGTCTCATCAGTCAGCTCAGCAGAAGTGGCGCTTGGCACTTGAGCCGAATGAGAGTTTTGCGAAGTCTCAGGGGAGTGCGCGAAGCGGCGCTGGAGGACCTGCTTCACACGCCCCTCTTTGAGACTTGGAACTCCCAGCAGTCAAAGTGGGTGTGTGGCTGCACGGACCTCAACAGCCGGGATCTCAGCCTCTGAGGCAACCGCAGTCGAATGAAAGAGTCGAGCTGTCTTTGAGCTGTCTTCTTTGACCTACTTTTGCTTCGAGGCTGGTGCGCGGTAGGTCCTGGTGCGCGTCGGGGTCTGAATCGCTTGCATGGCCGGCGAGTAAACTGGAATGCTTACTGCGACGACGCTGAGATTGCACAGCAGCACCTGGATGGCATATGAATCTGCGAAAAAAAACCACCTTTTTTTCTTGTTCCACTCCATTCTCAAACCTGGCGACGACTCGGGGCCCGGGTGATGGGACCATGGGAGCTCAGGTTCTTTGTCGAGCTCTGTGCCGTCTTCCGTGAGCGGGACAAATACTGGCACGGCAACTTGGAAGGGAGCCCCGTCTTTGAGCTCGAGCTGCATGATGTGCCTTGCCTGTTTGGCACCCGGCTCCTACCCGGCAACTGTTCACAAAAAAAAAAGATGGTGCCTGGCAGACGGTTGAAACTACCCATGAGAAATTTCAATTACGAGACGTGCGCAAGTCGAGGTGCAGTTCCAGCTCTGTGAACTGGCCCCTTTGATGATCAATGAGTCGAGTTGCAAGCCGAAGTGAAGCTTCACGGGGGGAATTTGGCTCTGGGGCCTTTTCGAACCCCTATGAAAGTATATTCCGTAGAGCTTAGGAGTATGGAGGACAGTGAGTAAGTCCCACGAGCCGATGGAGCCGAGGACAAGTACGAGCGAGAGAGGAAGCAACCAGGGCACGTGCGGGCGTACCAGCCGCCGAAGACCTGGGACAGCCAGACGGACGCCGCTTCTTTGCACGTAAAGGACTGTATGTAAGACATTGCAAAGAGCCGCTGCTCGAGTGCTTCGCTGCTTTTCACGACATACACGTCGTTTGTGAGTACCGCAGTGGTTGACTGGTTGACCAGTTTTTTTTTACTTCGTTTCTGGATATGCAATGAAGAGTCATTGTGGGTTTAGGGCCCATGACCAGGGAGCTTCCGACATGTTTCCATACGCCATCGGCACCTCTCAGTGCCTCTCAGTGCCTGAGGCCTCCGAGGCAGCGCGCGCGCCCCTGGAGGCATGCAGGGCGCAAAGAGCGCCTGCTCCGCCGAAGCCCTCCGAGGTGGGGCCCCCCAAGATGCTAAGCGTTAACGCCGAACGCAGTGGGGAAATGCAACTTTGCTCAAAATCAAAGGCGACTGTAGCATGGTGTGGCCTGACGCCAGGCAAGGAGTTTGACCAGGGGGCGGCAGAATGAAGTGGTGGAGGAGCCAGTAGTTCGGAGCAGGGTTTTCGGTTATTCCTCATGCGCCTGAAGCATTCAGACTCAGAGGACCTGGAAGAAGAGAAGCATGAGAAGCGCTTAAGTACTGCCCTCGACATCTTCTTCGCTGAAGTCGACCGCAATGTTGCCCAGCAAGCAGACGAATTGGAGGAGATCCCCTAAGCCAAGGAAAGGTGTGGCCAAGCATGTGTCGGTGAGCAGGTCCAGGCAGAAGTCCAAAAATTCGAATGAAAGCCTCACACGTGGCGAGCCAAAAAAGAGTGCATGAAGGCCTCCCCTTTGCAGGCCTTTGCATTCCACTCCTTTATTGAGCCCTGATCTACAAGTGTGCTGATTGTTTGTAAGTACCTTGTAGAGCTGCATAGCTTACGGTGGCAGATTAGATCAGATGACCCTGCATAGACTGCCCCACAATCTACCCTACAGTCAAAGGCAACAGGACCCCCCTGCAGGCTGGAGTTGTGAAAGTACTCGCAGTGCAGACTTTGGACAGAGGGCTCAAAAAGACTTTGTAATTTCTTGTAATTTCTTGTAATTCTATTGTGCGCCTTTTCAATTGAAGATGCTCGACCGAGTCGACCGAGCAGCCATGCAGCTGATCCAAAGCGCAGCACGATTGGTTTCGCAGAAAAGAGGCTCTCCCGTTGTCAACCTGACAGGCACATGCTAGGGGTTGGGCATCAGCATCAAGGGCTTGGGGAAGTTTGAAAGCTTATCCTTTCGAAATATCGGGAAGCCACTGTACTTTCCAGGGATCAGTTGACTGTGGGGTGCTTTCAAGGTCACTCAGAGTCATTCAGAATTTCAAGAATCAAGCTTGCCTGCCTCCGGAGGAGAAGCATCGGGGCCGCAAGCAGAGCGTACTCCAGGCTGACCAGAAGCGTCTCGTGCCGGCTCGGGGTTGAGTGCATGTATTAAACTTCATGATGTGCTGCTGCGAGTTGGAGGCGAGATGTTGAGCTAAGGTTCCTGACAGCTGTAAAGGCCACGATGCTTCGACTGTGCGACTGTTGTGCAGGCTCGAAACCTTGGAGATGCAAAGGACGCAGGTCCATCCGTGTATGTGTCCATCTCAGCCTTGGCAGCCATGGATCATCGCCGGGGTTTTGCTGCAGTTCTCCTGACAGACCAGTTGCTCTGAGCCTCTTTGAGCACTAGAGGGGCGCATGGAGTGACCCCACAGTTGATTTCCATAACTCGAGATGCTTGATTTCTAGGATCCCCTTTCCAGGTGGAGTCTCAAAGGGAAGAGGAGGAAGCCAACGAGCCGGGTCACCCAGTTCGACTGACGCCGGAACTTGATTCTAGTCTTGCCGCTCTCGCAGTCAGGAGACGCCATGTTCTAGCAGAGTCTGGCAGCACCCACGCAGTGCGAAATCCTGCAGTTCTGACATGTGTCGCGACTCTTGAGGGCTCATCTGCAAGATTCTGCAAGTTGTGTTCTCGCACAACCTCCGTAGCCGCCCTCCAGCAAGCTCAGCGGCATCTTCGCTCAGAACTTGAAGAGTCAGATTGGGGGTTGGTGCCAGAACACCAGTCCACGGGTGGCATGAACAGTATTCCACGGAATGCAAAAAGTGCAATACCGACAGTGGCTTTGGAATATCTATCAAAAAGGGCACAAAACGGCGGACCAGAACTGCCCAGGTTGCTTCACGCGTTGGAGAGCAAGCTTGGCCGCAGCCCCCAGTACTGACCGAGAGTCGACTCTGATGGAGTTTAGGGAGCTTAGGCTCAAAGCCTCCCAGGAGCTTCGCGCATCCCCTCCTGAGGCTACAACTTCTCATTGCCAGAGGTGTAATGCCGCCTGGCCAATGGAATTGCTGCTGCCTCTTTTTCATTGCGCGCGCGGGAAACCCTGGGGCACCTACCAGTAGGGGCTTTGCACAAACCTACCGAGGCTCGACACCCATTGAAGCCTCTTTTTTTGTCAGGTCGCCTCAAGAATCAGTGACGGGCTCGGTGGCGGAAGGAACGCTCCTGCTGCCAACCGAGAAAACGGAAGTTTCTCAGTTCTTAGTTTCTGTGGTTTAAGGTTGTGTGTGTGGGTGTGGGACTATCTATTTTTGGCCAAATGTTCTCACTTTCCTTTTGCCAGTCCTCGTTTGGATTGGCGTGCGATCTCGTTGTCCTTGCTTGTCCGACTCGGGCACGTTGCAATCAATAAACTTAATAAGCCATCACATGGACCCCAAATGGGATATCCAAGCTTGATTTCCCTCATGGCTGGCCTGGTGGATCACAAGGTTACAGAGATAGTTGTTGAGACGCTCAGTTGCTCAGCGGCAGAAGAGCCACGCACATCAACAACTTAGGCAGGAACTTGTCTGACAGTGGTGAGAAGCAAGATCGAGCTGCTAACCAGCGAAGTCTATCGTGTCAAGGCATGCGTCTCCACAAACTCCACCCCAAGTCGAACACTAAATGGTGCGATGCACATTCGCATTTGCATTACATGGCGTTTGCCTCAAGTTGGCATCCTAAACGCCTGAGCCTTCACCCACATCATGAGAGACATATGCTTTTAGTTAACAGGCTCTATCCCAGGACCGACGCGCCCCTTACAACACTTGCACGCCCCTGCCGATGTGGATCCTTCGGCCCTGCCGCTCTGATGCCGGCAAAGAGCGAGCCGAAAGAAATGCCGAAGGCCCGGCAGCTTGGTTTTTTGAGGGGGCCAGGGCGGAGGGGGTGGCAACGGTCGTTTAGCTTGGCTGCAACAAGTTCTCCGAGCCACATCGCAGGCAGATCCGCCGGTGGATGCCAAGGGCAGACAGGCCCGACCTTTCGAGAAACAATGCAAGAAGCACAGTGAAGCCACCAGACATGGCAAGCTACGCATGCTGGTGCCAGGCTGCTTCCAGCTCCTCCAGACCCGAGGTGCTTTCCTTGAAATGTTGTCAACGTGAGCGCACGAGCGCATGTGCCCATGGATGAGCAGGCAGAAGTTCCCATGAGCAACTATGCCTTCTTTGTAAAGTGCGCGGCCTTGCCCCCCGCCCTTCTGCTGACATCATGTAAAGTGTGTCACGAAGGTACACATACTCCAATGAGTGCGCTTTGCTTGCCTACAACTTCCACGAGCTTGTATCCAAGCTGGGAATCTTCGAGAGCTTTGCGTACAGGCCCTCGGCTCTTGGAGTGGCTCCGGGCTGCCGCCTAGCCCATTTCAATCGAAGAGTTCAAAGGGGGCTAATTGGGGAGGGTCTGCTCTCAACTTCGACGTCAATTGCCACCCCCAATTGCTGTCTTCTGTCTTGTAGGCACGACCATCGCCTAATCAGCGTCACGCTCGCGTACATTCTATACCGCTACCAGGCAGCCGCTGCTCGTAGACTCTCGCAGAATGGCAAGAGCACAGAGAAGCCATCGAAAAGAAATAGAAGAGCAAGAGTGGCAGGTGCACCATTGCGACATGGCCTTGGACTTGGCCTTGACGCTGGTGTACTTGGAGGTGCCCTCAAGACTGGGGTCTTGTTCGCGCAATTGAGTTAATTGCGGGCCTTTTCCTGGGGCCGCAAACATTCAGACGTACATTGAATGGGCCAGTTTGACAAGTGGAGTTGCATAAACAATTGCGGAGCTCCTTGAAAATCATCCGGGGAGAGTGTGGGGGGTCAGCACGTGGACCAATATTCGCGGGTTGTTCACAGCGGCCATCGTGAAAAACCCAATTTGGGCCCTTGTTCCTCACGTGATGCGACGACAAGGTTTGCACGTGCCCCTCTCTTTAGACTCTTAAGCATTAAATGCTTTTTATGGCTCGTGCTTGCCTGGGCAGAGCGCAGGGGTTGATGTTTGTTCATCTCCTCGTTCCTGCCGGATGCCCCCTAGAATTTCCGAAGCCCGAAGCCCGCATGTGATACATCGTCGATGTACCCAGTGTCACACCATTGCAACGTGCAAAACATTGCGATCGATTGTGGCTCATTTCTTGATTTGGCACAGTTTTCATCACGAAGATCACACCACGGCATTTGAGGGCTTTGGCTGGTGATGGGAGTTCAATGGTTCCAAGCAGGACCTCAGCGGCCAAGTTGAGGCCAAGCCAGAGCTGCGCGAGCCGTTTACCGAGATGGTGGCGGTGTGACTGCGTTGTTGTCGTGTGCTGTACTGTTTGTGCCAAGGATATGTTTGTGTTAAATTTTGGGGCCTATATGGGGAGCTCTGCTCAGGCGATGCCGAGATGCCTTCAATTTGATCTGCGCCTTGTCTGCAGGGCAGCTGACAGAAGCTCTGCGACATTCTGCGATTGAGCTGTCGCCCAGGTTACATGGCGTTTCTTGCACATGCATTCAACTCGGACCGACCGATTCGACTCGCCGACTGGCCGGAGCCTGATGCTGATCCCGTTGGGCCGTTAGGGCCTAAATTTCCTGACAGAGGAGCCTGCCAGAACCTGGGCTTTCTTGTTCATTAGGTTCAAAGAGATCGGCTGGCGATCCTTCAAGAATTGCCTGAGCCTAAATGCTGAGAAGCTCAACAGACTTGACCGCATGAGTTGGGCAAGTCCACCGGATTACTGGCTGAGGTCACCAGTTGAATGCCTACGTATTCTTTCTCTTTTCACAAGCTGGGGCCTTGACCCTGTGCAACGTTTTGTAGCGCTTGCAGCGTTTATCAACTCTGCAGTGTATTGCCGGTGGCCTCAATGTGGTGCGCGCGAGGTCCGTGGATTCAAACTTCGGGTGAATGAAAGTCAGGTGAAGAGGCACCTTTTCATTCTATTCCATTCTGTCCATCAGTCTGGCCTTCTGTCGAAGTTTGAATTTTGCAAACATGTCGCGGAAAGAGGTACATCCAGAAGCTCTGCAGTGTCCCAAGCCAAGCACAGACGGCGTCCTGAGAGGAACCTCCTGAGCTTTGCATGGCTGCAAGAAGCTCTGTAGGCTCAGATTCAGTGGCCCTTCTTAAGAGGCCTGGTGGCAGGTTTCCTTTGGCTGGCAAAGCGCCGGCCGCATCGGACCATCCGGGAGAAAAGATGGCAGCTGGTGCGCTCGCAAGCTGCTCACACGGCTTTGCGTCCATTCAGAGCAGTTGTTGTTGCAGCCAGAATTGAATAGTGGCAGAAGACTGCCTGCAGTTAGACGGCCAGTGGATATGGGCGTGGTGGCTTTTTTTTACTTGTGGCTTTGTGTGTCCTGAACCTGATTCTTGGGCACGGGCCGGGTTTGTTGGTTTCCTGGCGACCTTATATTATTGAGTTTCAGAAACATGCCGCTCTATTGCAAACCCCTTTTCTTTGTTGAGTTTGGGCTAAATTGCGCTCTATTGCGAACCACACTAATCAAACCTCACATTAAGTGCGTTCGCTGCGGCTCAGGTTTGAGGGTACGGGGCCACCGGGCCATACCGGGCCACCCCAAAGGGGTGCCCTGCTTGTTAAGAGTGAGCCGAGAGCCCCCCATGGTTAAACCATGCCCCTAGGAGATGGCCAGGACGAGGCCTGGGCAACTTGGGCCCCTTTGGATTCTCGTAGCATTACTGAGAAGCACACCGCCATAACTCAGTTTGTTGCACCATTAAGATGACCATTTTCTTAGTGAGACCGTTTGAAAGAAAAGGAGCCGCGTTTGTGCACATGCGGTTCACAGCTGCAGGAGTGCGATGAGGAGCCGAATGGAAGGCCTGAGGCCGGGACACAGACCACGGACCCATTTTGTATCTTCGCATCTTTAGGGGCACAGGCTGGCTTCAAGGGTGCCAATGGCATCTTTATCGACTACATGTCCCGCAAGGCTCGCAGCAGGCATCCAATGCCAGAGTCTGAGCGTCATGAAATGGCACGAAGCAACGAGCTCAATGAAGTCGAGCTACAAAGTTGACGCAAAATTGAGTCCGAACATCTGAAACACTCGAGGATGCGATGGCTGCAGGGGGACCAGAAGTCAAGGCCGGAGATGGCCCACGCAACTTGTGATGTTTTCATTCGATGTGTGCGCGCGATCTCCACATGCGATTTTGCACAGCCTGCGCATGCCCGACGCCTGCATTGACTTCTGCCTTTTTGAGCCTTGCTTCCAGGCAGAAGATCGCACAGCAGGTGTCGAGGAGCGAGGCAGCTGTGGCTGTGTTGGGGTTTGCTGTAGCGAAGATTTCTTCCTCGTGCTCGAGTGGAGGCTGGCAACAAAATGCTCCGGAGCTACAAGGTCGTTTGTGCACGTCATTGCGTTATGTCAGTCAGGTCACGTTGCCCGTTCTGAGTTGGACCTTGTTCGGCCATGTTCTAAGTTCAAGTGTCCGCACGGCAAGTTTCGGCCCAAGCGCATGCCCGATCGGGAAGATGCGTGCTCGGCCTGCTAGGCCTACTAGGCTTCGAGGAGCGAATATTTTGGATTTTTTTGGACTTGGGTTCAGGTGAGTTGGGGTGGTGAGGGTGAGACTCTTGGTCGCAGGCACTCTGCAGAATGTGTTCCGAGACTTTCTGGTGAGATGGGACGCACTGCCGCGAAGGAGCATGAAGCATGGCAGCGTGTACTTTGGAGGCTTGTCCCGTCCTTGCCTAAGAACTGGTACACTTCACTCCGAGCCCAGCATCACTTGGCTCATTTACATATTAGTATACAGTATGTACATATACGTATTCTCATTGTCCATGTCTTCATATGCAGTCTGTACATAAACAAACTATGTTTCACACAATGTGTGAATCCCGATATGCCCAAACGGTGCGCCAATACAAGGGCTTCTTACGTGTAAAAGGGTGTTAGATTTGAGTTGCTCGCGAAGCGCCCGTTCAACGTGCCCGGAAGAAGTCTGGAGCTCCAGTGGCATCGAAGTCGCTCTTTCGTCACCCATGAAGCTCTTCGAGTCCCCATGTCAGCTCTCACTGCATGGGGTCTGTGCTGGCTTAGGCGGCGACACGCCGCCAAAGGAGATCCCTACGCTGGGAGCAGCCGGTGGACGGCCCCGGGTCTCGGAGATGACTTTGAAGGACTCTCCTGTAACATCTCAGAGGCAGGAAGGTAAAAACAGAGCATGTTCGGCGCTGCCTTGGGAGCAGGAGAGGGTGAAGGAATGCCCATATGCCCGCTGGAAGCTGAATTGGACAGTGCTCTGAATGACAAATTCTCGTGATCTTCAGACTGCTTGCGCCTCCTGCACTGAGGGGATGAGAACGCAAGAGTCCTCGCCAGGCATGAGCTGATGAGCCTGGCACTTTGGCTGCACTTGCAGATGCAGGCAATGGCGTGAGAGAATCGAGTGCACTGTGCAGAGATGCTGTGTAGAGGACGTGATCAAGAAGACCGATGTGCCTCCAGGAGTCAGTTGTCCATGGCGCAGAGCAGAGCATCTCAGAGCTCAGGCTGATTCAGTCTCCCTGAAAGGACCGGTCCTGTTCAACAAGGACTATGACCGGTGCCTGGTCACAGAGGAGAGCTGGTCACTTTCGGAGAGGTACAGGCTTTGGTGCAGCTTGACCCTGCGTTCCTGCGCGCGATTCCTAGAGCTTGATCTCGCAAAAAGCAGGATCTCGAGCGTGCTCAGCCCGTGCTGTCGCATCCCACAAGTTGCACCGGCACAGGCCTCAGATGCCCGCCTGCATCCGCATCACTTTCTGAACGCAGAGTCTATGCTTCACCCCTTACGCTTCTCCCCCTAAACCGTATATTAAACATCCTAAAACCCTAAATCCTAACCCGAGTTGAGTGTCTCTTCCGAGGCCAGCCCATCCCCTGGAGCCAGATGCGGAAGGACGAGCTGGAGCCCATCCCGAAGAACCGCCACTTCGGGTGACAAAAGATCAAAAGGGGGTTTAGGTTTTGGGGTTTGGGGTTTGGGGTTTGGGGGGCTGCGTGGTTTGTATCTGTGTGTGTAGGGTTTAGAGTTTTGGGGTTGGGGGGCGTGGGCGTTGGGGGGCTGATTTTTCCCTGCACCGAATTGGAAGCTCGGGAAGGGGTTTGGATCTGAGGCCCCAAGGTGCTGTACCCTCCGCTCAGACGTCGGGTGCAAGAGTCGCGGCCGCATCAGTCGCCATATTTCTGGCAGTCGAGAAACGAGCAGTTCTGGCAGCATTTCCTGTGACACCGGTGTCGTTGTTCCGTGTTCATTCCTGCATGTTTTATGGGGTTGGAAGATGATTTTGTGGCCCCCCTTTCCCATCTTCCCCAAATGTAATTATAATTGCATCCAAAGATGGCCCCCGCCGATGCCTACATTTAATGACTGACATATGTGCAATTGCAGGGTGGGATATTTGAAGTACCTTGAAGTACATAGTTTCGTTTAGGCACAGGCAAGGAGGGGATGTACGGACCTCGTTCCTCGAACTTGGCCTGAGCTCGACGGACCATTGGCCCAGAATAGACACAACAACAAGCAGCACAAGCAAGTCGTCTCGATGTCGCGGTTGGCATGTGCCAGGGGTCATGCCAATTTATTGTTTCGAGCATCCCCGGATTGAAATGTTGGCGGTGCTGGTGCTCCTTGTTTTATTGTGGGCACTGCGAGGATCAGCGGTTTGTCGGCTTGTTTTTTGGTGTTGTGGATCAGTTACCTGTACAGAAGCACAGATGTATACCTGCTGTTCTCAATCTATACTCTCCTTGCCAGTGAACATGTACGTTCGCTTTCAGGGAGGTGCACTTGGCATCCAGCGGGTGAGCTGTCAGCTGTTTATGTCCGACTGTACCGACCCTGCTTTGGCCAATCACGCGTGCTTCTTATGCTCTTTCTCCACCGTATCGCCATCCTCAGGACATGTCCCTCCGAACGTCCGATATCGACTATGCCCAGCCGAAGAAAGAGCAGCTAGCATGCGTTAGCTGCGTTAGCTCCGTACGGCAACCCGTCTCAGAGGCATGCCCGTCATGATGTTGTTCAGGGGTCCCTGTCAGGACTATCCGCCCCAGGAGACGATCTGCCTGCATTACAGACTTGTTGACGGCAAGCTATCAGCTACTTGCCGGGAGCACCGCAACAAAACTTTTATTTTCTTGGTATTTCCCTTTCCATTTTTTCTTCCCAAGCGTTCATTCTCCACGTTCTCGCATTCCGTTTGCATTCGCTTTGCCATTTCTAGAACAACTTTTCTTCGGCTTGTTGACGAAGCCACTCCCACTCTAAGTGCTGAAGTCACTTGTTTTTCAGCACTCATGTGGCCTTCTGATTGGTGTCGCCAGGTTCGCTTCCTCCGAGTTGCCACCGCAGCCTGAATACAGGCCCACTGCATAGGTGTGAGAGAGTTGCAAAATTTCGAGATGTGACGGCTTGTGGGACCTTGCTTTCTGCATTTAACACCCTTCTACTCTAGCAACAGCTACGACTCAGCGTATCGTATCCGACAGGTGACGTCGACTGTTGAGCAGCTCTGTGAGTAATGAACTGGATGTGGCCTTTATACTGATAAAGTCCAAAGGCTGCACGTGAGCTGACGGTTGTAACCCAATCTATGCAATCGATTGGAATTTGGCATGCAGTGGCTTGACCTAAGTCCCTGAAACACCCGTGCCAGGGCCTCAGGACGATGCCCGACGGACGTGGGGGACATCGATGGCTGCGCCGTGCGGCCCGTGGTTCCCGCCTCTCTGTGCGCAGAGCAGAAACTATAGATGATACTACAAATATGACACTCCGAGATTCCGAGCGGGGGAAGAAGAGTCGCTGCACCAAGCAGAACCAAGCAATGGCCCATCGCCTAGGTCCGGCGGCAGTATGGCAGCTCAGCTGCAACATGTTTGGAGTCACGCCTTTTCGTCACAATCTTTTTCAGCGCTCAACGCTGAGAGGGGCTGGTGACATCCGGCAGTGCGATGTGCAACCGAGGTGATACCATGAGGAGTCTTGCTTGCAGGGATGCGCACGCAAGCAGGTTCAAGTGTGGGTGCCTGCATCCGAGGGTGGAAGACGAGTTCCGCAGCAAGAACAAGGCCACAAGACATCAAGCAGCCTTTTGCAGTTTCATGCAACTCTCGGTGCTTGCAAAGCTGCATGTTGGAAGTTGGAACTGCTGACCTCTCCAGAACCCAGAACTGACGTAATATGACCGTCATGATGCCACAGCGGGAAGTCTGGTAGTTACTGTTTGCATGTAGCTGACCAGTTTCGACGACCTCGACCTGAGCAATTGGGCGTCCATGAAGGTGAGTGGGCGCAGACACCAGCAGAAGTCGGCTCCATGTCATGTGACTGGGATTGTTCATGCCTGCCAGTGTCTCACTGCCTGCAGGTGGCCGTCCTGACAACTGACTGAGGGTGGCCATGGCACAAGCCAACCCGACCCCCAGCCCCAGGCGCATGATCATCGTAGAAGGGCCTCCCGTGCAGTTTGATCTCCCAAACAAGCATTGTGACGTCTTATGACTGGCCTGGGAAGGCTTCTCCGAATCTGCTGTTCCTGTTGCGACGCGTGCGTTGCAAAGGCAGTTCACAGAAGTGCTGCCTCGCCTCCCTTCGCGGCGCTCATCCTTCCAACATGGGAGACGAAAGAGCCGGCGCGACCATGACCGCCGAAGGGAAAACTAATGTCGACTTGGAAGCTTGTTGGATGGCCCTTCCTTGTTCATTGTTTCTGGGGGAGGGGGTAAGGTGAGTTACCGGATACCTTTGGAAACATTTCAGCGGTCGGGAAAAGTTACAAGAAGGACCACCCCCCCCGGCCTCGGTAACATTTTCAGATCGGTCAGTTTTGGTATTGGCCTTTCGCTGGTTCTATGTTTTTGCCTTGAAGAGTTCCGGGCTTGTCTGGTTTATTGACTTGTGAGAAGCCCGCTTAAACACCCGAAGAACCTCCAGCAAACTAAACCTCAGGAGCAGTAGGCCTTTGCAGAGAAAGCTGCAAGAAGCCAAAGCTATCTTCACTGCAGCTCTCTTTCCTGGCCTTTCTCTATATCTATATCACAAGAATAGTAAGTATAATTCGTCTTCTAATATAACGAATTCTAACACATATACTTACAAAGTAATTAGAAAATCAGTAGATCAGTAGTAGTAGTAGTAGCAGTAGGTAGTAGGTACTAGTAGGTACTAGTAGGTAGTAGTAGGTAGTAGTAGGTAGTAGTAGGCGCCGCCGCGCCGGACCGCTTCTCCCGGCCACCTCCCAAAAGAAGCCTTCTGAAGGATGCCCCCCTCATACCCCCCCCCTGGGCTCCTCCCCTTAAAAGGTGCCCCTCTGACATGGGTGACTAAAGTTGGTAAAGGGTAGCTATAAGTGCAGCTATGAGTTATGAGAAGTATTGGACTAATTCTATTTATATGTATATATCCTACAGGTTCCCTACTAACAATCTCATACGGGGCCTTCAACGCTTCGGCCTGGAAATCAGCTCGAGAAGAAGAACGAGTTCGAAAACGAACCCCTGTGGCTTTCTCTTCTACCGCAAAGAAGTTCTCATCTTCTAACTGAACATTTGAGCAAAAAAAAACTCCAAGCTTCTAAATTCGCAGAGCCGGTCGCGAATAGCTTTGCGGCCCAGGGCCTCTCTGCAATGAAACATCCCTGGGCGTCAAAGCCATATCTGTCTCTGTTCTCAGGTTTAGAGTCTGGAGTTTCGGGTGGTTTAGGGTGTTGTTCTGTTTTGTGCTTCCTTTTTTTCTCTCGCCCATAGACCGATTCTGGATCACAGCCTTCACCCCCAACTCCACACCAGAGAGGATGACGCTGATGACACCCTCAAAGTCGAAATTCTGGGCTCCAAGAACTTTCAGCTGTTAAGAGCCCATCTGCTTCCAGCCAGGATGCCCGGGATCTGGTGAATTTCGAGAGGCGGAAGCAGATTCAGGGCTCTGTTGCAGCAAGCACATTGGATGATGGTAAGTCGTCGTGATCCTTTGAGAGTGCAGAAGCACAGAATAGAGATCAGCCGACTCAATATGGGGCGCATGTTAGTTGTAAAGCCCTTCTTCCAAGTGTGAGGCTCGAGTGGAACTTGATGGACCTGCTGACCAACTTCTGGAAGTCCAAGCAGCACCCCCTCTGGGTGCCATCCCCCCCCCTGGTGTTTTGGGCAGGGGATGCATTCCGAGGAGAGTTGTTTGGTGCCGTATCGTCCTAGAGATGAGGTGGGGATGCGAGGGGGTGGCTGTAGCGGAGGAGTGGCTTCAACGGGTTGATTGAGGCTTGAAGCCACCTAAATGGCACCCCGGCGACCAGGTCACGCCGCCAGACGTTTTGCAGCAGGTGGTGCGCCGTGCCTCGGCACCTCATCATCTCTGCACGCGCAGCGGCATGTGGAATCATGTGGCAATGTCTGGAAATGAAGCCTTGCGCACGACTCCAAGGTATCTACTTGCAGCACAGCTTAGAGCCAGAAGCTCAACTTTGGCCCCCGGTTCTGTTGGCATCTGTTGATTTCGTGCCGGTGCAGACCCCAACGAGTGGGACCACGGATCTTCGCAATCTTCGGACTCTCCAGCCACGCGACGCGTTTCGACGAGTTTAGAGGTTCAGAGAGCCAACAACGTGACATCAAGAACCGATGCTCGTCAAATCTTGCGCGAGATCTCGCCTTTAAGCAAAGTGGCACGGCAGGCAAGTTGTCAAGGGCTACCGCATGCTACCGCCCGAGTCCTGGAAGTGTCACTGCTCTTCCCGACTCTTCCCAACTCTTCACCCTCGCACTGGGTTCGAGCGTCTTCGGCCATCGGCTTCGGCAATCTGTTCCGCGCTATCGCCTGGCCAATGGCTAGAGGCACTTGCGGTCGAGCAGGCGTGTTGTTGCATGGATCTTGCGCGTCTTGACGTTCGCAGGCACAATGCACGCACATGGATGTTGACCCCGTTGAGGGTGGGATCCTGTTGGATCGGATCCACACTGTACAGTGTTGTGCAGCTTGGCGGGTGACCAGCCAAGTGTGGCGGTGGAGACGGTTTCCTCCTGCTTGGGCGTGCAATGTAAATTTCCGACATGCGGCATGCTCTACTCATCGTGGTGCCTGCCACTCTCCAATCACTTTCATGTGACCGCGGTGATCAGGCCGTTCTGAGCTACGCGGCTTGAAATTACAGCGTCGCATCCGATCTTCTGACGATTCCGTTGGGTTTTTTTGGCATGTTCTTGCCGTAACATACGAAGATATACGAAACAATTCGAGGGGTCGCCTCCAACGGGAGCTTTGGCTCGCGGAGTCGCCGACGCTCCCACAGCAATTTTCGTACGCTTACAAAGAATGTGTGGTCAACAGAACATGGGATGAACAGGGCGGCCCGGCTCTCCTTCGCCGCGAAGGCCTTTTGCAGCGTTCTCCCTTTGCCCTGCACGCGGCCGCATCCTTGGCATGCCTGGCCCCGGCCGGCCGGTCCCCTACGCAAGGGACCTGCCGGGTATTGGCATTCAGACCAGACCGCGACTAATTCAGTATACAAAATCAGCGCGAAAAAAACACAGTTCGTCCCCATGGCTCGCCTGGCCTGGTTTATGTGCAGCAGACACGAATTGAGCCTGCCGTGAATCCTTTGCTTTCGCACGAACATGTCCAGACGACCCCAGCGCGGAGTCGCGCTCGGTGCCCTTCTGAGTTCTCGAGGCTCATCTCCGCCAACTGTTGGCGCGTCACGAGATCTTGTTCCTGGACCCCTGTCGCTTTCCGTGTCTGCCCTGCGGGGTGCTCTGCCTTTCGGGCGCCTGCGTGCCGGCGAAGCGCACAGGTGTCACGCGCTCACGCGCTTGGCGTTTGCATGCAATTGCACACATCGTGGCGTGCTCTGCCAGGGTTGGCTTGCTTGTGGGGGCGCGGGGTGTTTGCAGCGCTGGGTGCGAGGCGAAAGCTCCTGCGAAATCGCCGTACAGGGCTGCGGGCGCAGCGCTGCGCAGGCTGGGCCTGCCGGGAGCTGCGCGCGGGCGACAGCAAGGTCAGGGAGTGGCCGCAGCATCTGCCGACGTCGAGGAAGCCGCCAGACAGCCGGAAAATTGAACCTGCAGCAGTGTACTTAATGATTTGCTAGGGTCACCACCTTCTCAATATCTTTGGGGAAAGGTCAACTCGGTCCAGGAAGACGCATGCATGCAAATTCGCTCCGCGCACATGGGAAGCTGCTTGCATGCGCCTCCGCGGGAGAAAGGCATCCCGCCTACAACATTTTCACACCGGTTTGCGTGAAAGGAATCACGGCCCTTCTTGAAAGCGCAAAGCCTGCGGAACGCTGGATGTAGATTCCGCCACAAGGGAAAAGGCGAATGAACGGGTGCTGTCGCCGCAAGCAAGCCATCGAGCTGGTTCTTGGAGATTCGGTCCCCGCCCGCTGGTCAAGAAATAGGCGTCGCTTATACACATAACGTATCCCCCGTTCTCTGAAGACATTGTTGTGCTAAAGGCTTTGAAACCGTCTTCTGCTAATGGCTTTAGCAAACTCGTTTTTGTGCTAGTGGCGGTTGAGAATCACACTGCTGCTTTTTAGGCTTTGCAACCTTTCGCACCGTCAAGAAACAACCCTCTCCTCCTGGTGGCTTTCAAGCTCGCGGTGATGCTTTCAAAACGCACTCTTCTGCTCATCGTTGTTTGAGCTTTTTCTCGCTGTCATGCTACTGCTGCAGAAACACCGCGCCGGCTAGTGGCTTTCAAAATTGCGCTCTTCTGCTAGTCGTTGTTTGAACTGTTTCTCGCTGTCATGTTACTGGTGTAACAAAAGGACGCGCTCTTCTGCTAGTCGTTGAGTTTTTTCTCGCTGTCATGCTACTGGTATAAAAAAAACCGCGGCGGCTAGTGGCTTCCAAAACGCACTGTTCTGCTAGTCGTTGTTTACTTTTTTTCCGCTGTCATGCTACGGGTGTACAAAAACAGCATCGTTTGTGGCTTTCAAACGCAGTTTTCTGCCAGTCGTTGTTTCAGCTTTTTCACGCGGTCGTGCTACCGGTGTAGACAAACCGCACTCGCTGGAGGCTTTCAACACGCAGTCTTTTGCTAGTCGTTGTTTTGTGTTTTTGCTGCTGTCATGCTATTGGTGTAGAAAAACCTCACCGGCTAGTGGCATTCAAAGTGCGATCTTCTGCTAGTCGTTGTTTAGTTTTTTTCTCGCTGTCATGCTGTGTAAAAATTGTACCGGCTAGGGGCTTTCAAGATGCACTCTTCTGCCAGTCGTTGTTTAAACTTTTTTCGCTGTCATGCTATTGGCGTAAAAAAACCGCACAGGCCAGTGGCTTTCAAAGCGCACCGTTCTTCTAGTCGTTGTGTGATTTTTTCAGCTGTCATGCTACGGGTGTACAAAAACAGCATCGCTTGTGGCTGAACAAACGCAGTTTTCTGCTAGTCGT